AGTGAGTTCGCTGCCTGTCGCGTGGGGTGCTCGCGGTATTCTAGCGGCCGTGGTAGTGGTGGGAGAGAGCGCTGGAAGACCGCCGGAAATGTCTCGGGTAGGCTGGAATGCGGGAGCGTCTGGAATGCGGGAGGCGAGGAATTTGGGTTTTCGATGTCGGAGAAAAGCAGCCGGGTAGGAATGTACGTGAAAATGCGCAAAGCAGGAGCGTCGTCGAGACCGAGACAGAGAGTGAGGCAGAAACGGGTGGAACGCGGAATGGCGAGATTTATACTCGCGCAGGCAACGGAGCAAGTCCCGCACGGCCAGAAGGGCAGGTTGTGTGATATATGAGGTGTATTTCCCACACACGGCTCAACCGGGCGGCTATTTGTGGCAGGCCTCGGGAGACCAGAGGCAGACAGACGGGCAGGACGGCGGCTGCGACATGGCATTTTACTATGGGCAACAGGAAAAGCTGGGCCGGCCACTGCGATAACGGTCACCCAGACCTGCCAGTGCGCTCTGCCTCTCGGCCGGGCTGCCAAACTGGGAGGCCATGGAGGCCATGGAGCGCCCCCCTAAAACTGGAGATCGGAGGCCGCAGTGGGCTTTCCTGTCTCGCGGGGGCCGTGGTTCGTCCGCTGTCCCCTCGCATCGAACGTTCCCACTCAGCCATCCACTCCGCTGCGAAATGTACCAGTACTCGGGATCGACTGCCTACGTACGTAGGGCTCGGGCGGGGCGTACGAGCGCTCCCATGTAGCGCAAAAGTGCGACTACTGCCGCCAGCAGAGCCGGCGTCTGGGTTAGATCGCACGCGTCGGTTCTCCTGAGCGTACTTCACTGTACATAGTCCAGGCAGACAGAGTGTCCTGTCGTCATCGAGCGCCAGAGTGGCGCCGCGACCTTGTCTCGCCGGGAGTCTTTTCCCTGACGTCGTCGGTAATATGGTCAGTTTGATCTGCCGTCAGATCGATGCCGCAGCCGAAATGCATATAGCCATGCTGATGAGAGGCGGCGAGGCTCTGGGGCGCGCGCGCGGGCAGCACGGGCACGGGGCTCAGTGCGCCCGGTGCTGAGTCTGAGCGCGTTGGGGAAGCAATCCTCCAAGCAGGTACACTGTCCACCACGGCAGCGGCCTCGGCGAGGGAGGCGGGGCTCGAGAGGAGCAGCTGGAGGCGCCGTCAGGCTCGCCGCCCGCTGGAGAACGCTGAGGGTGGGAGGCTCGACGGGTCGAGGGGTCGAGAGGTCCGGCAACGGAGCGGACGGGTGGGGTCGTAGGGGACTTTTTACGTTACTGTCCGCCACGGACCACCCCATCCGCTGGAATCCAGCAGCTCGGGCGAGCTTTGGGCGATGGTCTTTTCTGGTTCTGCGGGCTGCGGGCTGCGCATCTGTGGTTGGGGTGGGTCGTTGGCTTGGCTTGTGATCGCATGTACAGTACTCTATGTGCGGCGCGCGGTGGACGGAGGGACGGATGTAGTATGCGCCGGGCCGGCTCGGTGTGCAAGCCGCGAGCAGGCTCCGCAGTGAGATCACACGTTTTGATTTTCTGTTTTCGTAGAATATTGAACGGCCTGGCAGGCCGCTCACGTGAATTGTCGCCAACTTGGCGGTCGTGGCGTGATGGTCACATCAGCCGGACACGGACATGGATGCGAGGAAGACGGGGATTGCCAAAGGGGTCATAGACGGCGAGTATTGCATCTAGGCTCTATTATCTTCTCGCGGCGGGTGATTCTGGCCTACCTATGGCGCGGGCGCGAGAGGGAAGACAGGCACAGGGGAAGTCGAACGGGTCGAGGGGGTTCGTAAGGGTGTTCGCGTGGTTGAAGAGGCAAAAGAGGTTCGAACAGGCCGAGATTGCGGAAGGACGAACTGTTCGAGAGGTTCCAACGGCTCGACGAGATGTTAGATAGCCTGGGGCAGTTCCACAGACGTTCATCGGTGAGATTCCAGCGGCATGAAAAGCTCGAATGGTGTACGAGTAAAGAGAAGCACGGGGGGCATTGGCCATTGGCGACTTGTCAATTTGCCTTGCATTTGCCATCTACGAAGTACTTTGTATCCGTTGCAATCACGGAAGGGCTTCACAGGGTGAGTAGGAAGGAGCAGCCACGCTGCCTGCCAACCTAGGCGAGCAGGCCGCTGGCCCCACCCCAGCGGCGTCCATGTCCAGCCAGCGTCTGCCAAATTTCCAGTTACAACTTACAACTCAGCCTCACGGGCTTCCGCAACCTCTCCTCTCGCGCTCGGTTCTCACCAATCTCACTGACAACGCACTCATCAGGGGCACACTCCGTTCATCGGCGCCCGCAAGCGCGCCCCCCCCCCCCCCCCCCCCCCCCCAACGTCAGATTGCATCGCGCAATCGCATCCTCGGGGACGGCTAGCTATCTCGCAAGCTCGCAAGCTCCTGCGGGGCCCCGTCGACGCCCCGCCCGGAGATGCACAGCTTCCCCTTTTAGCCTCAACCTGCCCGCTCAATGTCAACGTCCTTCCACGACGCCGCCGCCGCCCGCAGAGCTCCCTCCAGATAGGCAATGGCTGCCCCCGGCGCAGACGACGACGAAGCAGGCCCGGCCCCTGGCCTGCCCGCTCCCATGGGCACGGGCATGAGCCCGCCTCGGGGCCCGGGATCGGAGTCGGCCGCTTCCTGGACCCTCCCCGACGAGCTCAACCTCCTCACCCTCAACTGCTGGGGCCTCCTCCACATCTCGACCCTGCGCACGCCGCGCCTCCTCGAGATTGGCCGTCACATCGCCCGCCTCGAGCCCCCGCCGCACATCGTCTGTCTCCAGGAGTGCTGGGTCCAGGACGACTACCGCGCCATCCGCGATGCCACCCGCCGCATCCTGCCCCATGCCAAGTTCTACCACAGCGGCGCCTTTGGCGGTGGCCTCGCCATCCTGAGCCGCTGGCCCATCGAGGAGAGCTCCATGGTGCCGTATCCCCTCAATGGCCGCCCCACGGCCTTTTGGAGGGGTGATTGGTATGTCGGCAAGGGCGTTGCTTGTGCCTCGGTGCGCTTCGGCCCTAGCGAGCGGGACGTCGTCGAGGTCTTCAACACTCATGTGAGTTTCACCCCGTCTCACCACATCGTGAGACAAACATCCTGACACAGAGCCCAGACCCATGCTCCGTATGAGAGCGGCCCCAATGACTCGTATCTCTGTCACCGCACAGCCCAAGCATGGGAAATCTCCAAGCTCCTGCGCGCTGCCTGCCAACGCGGTCACCTCGTTGTAGCCCTGGGAGACTTCAACATGTACCCACGTTCCCTGCCCCATCAAATCATCACCGCTCGCTCCCAGGTCCGTGATGTCTGGCGAGTGCTGCACCCGGACAGCTCGATTGGGCCCGCCGACTTCCACCTTGAAAAAGACCGTGGCCTGCCGATACCGACCGCCGAGTACAACCTGACCAAGAACGGCAGCACCAGCGATGGCCTGTACAACACGTGGCGCTGGACTAAGAACCGGCAAAACAAGCTGCGGTCCGGCGACCCCTGTCCCGTCGATGCTGGAGCTCAGGACATCAACGGCAAGCGCCTCGACTACATCTTTGCCTCCACCGGCGACGTTGCGTCCGGACGCGGCTGGGTGGTCAAGGCCGCCTCGGTCGCCCTCACCGAGCGCCACCCGGAGCTTCACGTCTCCCTGTCCGATCACTTCGCCGTATTTGCCACTCTCAAGCTTCACAACCTGCCCTCCACCATCGGCCACGACGAGACCGTCTCCCACTTCGACGCACAGCTCCTGTCGCATCCCAACACCGACCACGATGCCCTTCCCATCTCCGCCTACGATGAGATGCTCGCCATGACGCGCAGGTACTTTGTCCGGGAGCGCTCGCAGCGCCGCTGGCGGGCGGTCCGCTTCTACGCCTCCCTCGTCGTCTGGGTCGGCTGCCTCGTCGCCGTGTGGTGGAGCCCCCGCAACTTTGTCGCCTTCCTGCTCATGCTCCTCGCCAGCCTGGTCCTCGCCGCCGGCGTCGTCGAGGGCCTGCTCGCCCTCTTGTTCTTCTCGTCCGAGATCCGCAGGCTCAAGGAGTTTGAGTGGGAGGTTGAGAACGCAAGGGCCTTGGCGCTTGCGTCCCGGCCCGAGGGCGACGTCTCGAGTCCGACCACGCCAAGCAAGGTGCAATGATGCCTTCGGACTCGCCCGCTCCTTCGCTGGCATGTACATTCACGAACATTCAAAGTTACCTTGAGCGTCTTGTGGCGCTTATATCAGCGCGTACAAAAAGTAGTACCATAATCAATAATGTGTCTAATACTATTCACTTCTAGTCCCCTGTTGTTGTCCTGTTGGCCTGATGCGCGACCCCTGCTGCCTCACCCACGCAACACCAGGCCTAGGCCGCTGCGTTCGACCTCAAGTCTTCCGCCGCGGCGACGAAGCAGCTCGCAGCAAGCATATCTCTTCCTCCTGCTCATTCAGGTCTTTCTGCTTACTTCGGCATCACGTAGCCACCAGGCCTCATCCGCCGCCACGTGTACCCCATAAAGGCCGTCCTCTTGCGCACCTCCATCACCGCGTCCTTGGTCTTCTCGTCTCGGAGCAGGATGTCCCGCGGCCTCTTGCGCTCTTTCCGCCCGTATACCCTGATGAAGTGCTTCAGGACTTTTCTCTCGTTGGCTGTAAAGCTTTGGATAGAGTCGATCCTGTGATCCGCGCTGCGAAGCCTTGCCGAGTCGTAAGGCGAGGATATCAGATCCATCGCCGCCGCCTGCACGCAGGCCCGGAAATCGCGAAGAATCTCTCGCACGTCATCGTCAGTGACATCCACGGCAACCGGCGACGAGTCGGAAAAGTCCTCGATGGGCTCCGACTCGTCAAAGTAGTGGGTATCGTCGCTGCTTGTAATGTGCGGCACAAAGGGCGGGCTGATGTTGTGAACGCGTTCCCAGGGAAAGTTCCGAAACCACTTGTGGACTTTGATGTCTTCGGCGTCGTCAGGAAATACAAATTTGCCAAACAAGTCAGTTGGTCGATGTGATTCGGCGGCGCGGTCCTTCCATAGGTATCGCTTCGAGCACAGCCGCTTTTCCTTTTCTTGTATGAGGCTGAATATCAAGTCCTTGCACTTGTCGCTGATCATGGGCCTGTGCGGGAAGGAGAATAGTCTCTTGTGGTCCTGTGTACGTTAGCCGAAGGTCTCGAGGGGCATCAGAGTCCGTATTCCTCACCAGGATGTTGGTCTTGGTCTGCTTCCTGCCGTCCTCGGCGAAGAAAGGTGTGTGTCCATACAGACACTCGTACAAGATAATTCCAATGCTCCACTAGTCGCACCGGCCGTCGTATTCGCACCCTCGACATGCCCTGATGACCTCTGGCGCCATGTACTGGCTCGTGCCGACCACCGAGTTGGCCGCAGCTCGGTTGCCGCATCGGTTCCTCCAGCCGAGAAGGTTGGGCAAATCCTCAGTCTCTGCATCATCACCACGTTGATGCCGCTGGAGCACCTCTTTCATCGATTGAAGCCACGGAAGCTGGGTGGAAATGTTTTCGCATTTCTTTTTGTCTTCCGCATCGCCTTCGACGCTAATGCCGAGGCTCTGCAGGAGGGTATATCGCTGGCAGTTGTAGTACGAGGCATCGTGAGACCAGTGCCCGTCAAAGGCCAGCCCAAAGTCGGAGATCTTGAGATGGCCGGAGGCTGATATGAGGAAGTTGTCTGGCTTGATGTCGCGATGAATGAACTTTAATCGATGTGCCTCCTCTACGCCCAAAATCATCTCTGCGATGTAAAAACGAGCGACGGATTCGTGAAGGATGTTCTCGCGGATCAGCAGCCCGAGAAAGTCGCCGCCGGGCATGTATTCCATGACAAGGTAGAGACTCTTCAGGTCCTGGAAGCTAGCAACCAATGGGACGATCCTGCGGTTTGGTCAGTCGTCTAGTTCCCTCTCTTGAGATCAATTCCCTGCTTCAACGTACCAGTGTGAGCCTTCTGAAGCCACAAGAAAGTCTCTCTCGGCTCGGAGATGTCCTTCTTGACTGCTACGAAGCATATCCGACTTCCGGATTACCTTCATGGCAAAGACTTGCTTCGCTGGAGGCCCATCTGAGTCGCCCTTTTCCCTCACCAACTTGACCACGCCAAAGCTACCCCTACCCAAGATCCTGAGGGACTCGTACTTGTCGACGTGGGGAACCGGTCCCTCGCCTCGCAACGACGCAATGGACTGTGTTCTCAGAACGCGAGTCTCACGAGCGTGGCACGACTCTTGATAATCAAAGGCTCTTCGAACGGTGTTTTTCTGCGCAGCGGTCAGATGAGGGCTGTAGTAGAGCTGGGATTCAAGGTACTGGCGCCGCAAACTGCGAGCACTCGGCTTGTTGAGAAGCCTGTCGAAGTGCTCCTCGAGATAAATCTTCGCAGCGGCGGCTTTTTCGGCAGTCAGCACGGTTGGCTGGATTTGACTGCTCGTCCCTTCGTCGATGGTCTGCAAGGTACCGCCCTCTGGACTAGACCTGGACCACGGATGCCTTCGATTATGCCCACCCTTGCTTCCGCTCTTGGCTGACGGAGACTCCGAGAAGCGGGACTCTAGGGAGGTCTGTGCAGTGGAGGTGTTCTCGACGGTAGACCTCTTGCTGCTCTTCTCTGTGGACACAGAGCTTCTTCGCTCGCTCAAGTGATTGGATGGGACGCCGCCCAGGGCCTGAAGCGAGGCGCGTGTCTTCAACGGGGAACCTCGAAGGACGATGGTGGTGCTTGATTCCATACCCGAGCCGAACCCCAGCTTCTTGGCAACTCCCCGAGGTGTTAGCGACTTGCCTTTCCGCGGCGTCGACGGCGGTGTGTGAGAATTGCAAGAATGGGAATCGGTGTCAACTGCTTTGCCCTTGCCCTTCGCCAGCCGGCGTCCACCGGAGACATAGTCATGGACAGTCGAGCCGTCAGAGTCTATATACCCATGTCAGACAGGAGATTCCCATGGAATAAATGGGCAAACCCTACCGCTGTGACTGTTTCGACCGAGAGCCCTGATGGCGCCTCGAATCTCGGACCACACTCTGGAGCTGCTGTGGCCGGCCTTCAGTGCACCCGACTCCATGGGCGAGCTTCGCGAGTCTGCAGACTGTAGAGACGACATGGCGTCGGGGGCTATCAGTGGCGTCGGCTCCAGCACGGGACAGCTTCGCTTGTTCAGAAGACTGGAACGCATCGTGTTGATGAGTCTCAGCAGCGAATCAAACTTGGCACGGCATGGATGCTGCGACGGGAGAGTCCTAGATGAGATGCTGCTCTTCGAAATAAAGGAATGACAATATCATGAATCCTGATCGAGCGGACTCTGCTGGGGATAAAGGGCCTGAAGGAGGTGGCCAACGATATGGTATACGCGGGTGGGAGAAGACAGAAGCGAGGCACGTGTCGCTTGAGCGGAGAGAGAGGGATACATAATACGCTGTCTGAAGAAAGGGCACCTCCTTCCTACTCCTGGAGCATGACGCCGCTCCTGCCACTGCGACGGACGCGACGATCCGTACCCACGAAGGCGAGGGTCACTACTTGCTAAGGTAACAAGCACACGGGCACGGCACGGCATCACAGCAGCGATCAAAGATAGAATAATCAACTTTTGTATAGGAGACGCCTACAGATCCACAACTAGTTCTTGGCTCCCGAGCAAAGGGATCCTACAGCGAGACAAGCTCTATAAACGCCAGCCTCATGCAAAGCAGGCTCGCGTCTCGTCATCCCCGCGGTAGCCAGGCGGCGCCCCGGCCTCGTCTAGGCGCAAAAGCCAAGCGCCGCGCAGAGGCTACAGGTCCAAGATCGCCCAGCATCGCATGCCTCCGCGTGTGAAAAAAGAATTCCAGAGTCTGAACCAACGCCGCAACCCAGCGCTCCGCGCCGATGGCAGGGCGCGGAGAGACGGGGTATTTGTTTGTACACCATCGTGTTGACAAAGGAAAACGCAGAAATCACAGCCCCGAGCCGCGGAGCTTACTTGATCTCCAGCAGCTTGACGTCAAAGGTCAGCTGGCTGTTGGCGGGGATGCCGGGCATGCCGCGAGAGCCGTAGCCCAGGTTGGCGGGGATGGTCAGGCGACGCTCGCCGCCGATAGCCATACCGACGACACCGACGTCCCAGCCCTTGATGACCTGGCCCTTGCCGACCTTGAAGGAGAAAGGCTTGCCCTTCTTGTTGGCTGCAGAGAGATACCGGTCAGTGGAGCTGTGACAATAATACTTTAGAAGGGTGCAAATTCACTCACCATCAAACTGCTGGCCGTTAGCCAGCTTGCCAATGTAGCGGACGCCGACAGTGTCGCCGTTCTTAACAGTGCGGCCGTTGCCAATGGTGCGGTCGTCAATAGTGACGCCCTGGACAACCTTGACGCCGACGGTGGCCTTGCCGGCCTGCTTGGCCTTCTCGGCGGAGCCGGTAGGGCCCTGCTCGAGGTTCTTGGCGAACTGGACCTTCTTGTCCTTCTTGCTCTCCTCGGCGGCGACGGCCTCGCCCTTGTTGTTCTTGAGCTTCTTCTGCTGCTTCTTGGACAGCTTGGAGTCGTCCTTGGCAATCAGGTCGTCGAGGCTCTCGGCCTCTTCGGCGCTGCGCTTGTTCTTGCCCTTCTTGGCCTCGACCAGCTTGGGCACCTCGTCCTCCGAGTCGACCTCGGTGACGCGGGGGTCCTCGAGGCCGTCAAGCTCGTCAGACTCGTCGTCACTAGCGTCCTCGTCCATGGCGTACTCCAGCTCCTCGGGGTCAAAGTCATAGTCGTCCTCGTCGCTGTCGCTCTCGTCCTCATCGTCGTCCATGACGTAGTTGCCGGTCAGGAAGACGGTGTGGGTGCCGGTGACAACGAAGAAGACCTTCTCGCCGTGGTTGACGGTGATGTCAAGGGGCTGCTGGTAGTTCTGCAGGTGACAGCGTCAGTGATGGCCTCGCTCATGGCACGCAGGGGTTGGGACTAACCTTCTCGGTGTCGAGAGTGCAGACGACAAAGTTCTCCAGGTCGCCACCCTCGCTGTCGTCATCAGAGTCCTCCTCATCGTCCTCATCCTCGTCCTCATCCTCATCCTCGACAGGGGCCTTGCCCTTGCCCTTGCTCTTAACGCCGTTGGGCTTGGCATCCTCCATGTCCTCGTCCTCGTCCTCTTCCTCCGCGGCGGCGGCCTCGAGGAGCTTCTTGATGGCAGCGGCCTGCTTCTGCTTCTTGGCCTTGGCAGGGTCGCTGGGGCCACCGTTGGGCTCATCCTCATCGTCCTCGTCCTCGTCGTCCGAGGCGGCAAGCAGGGCACGCATGTACTCGTCGTCAATCTCGTCGTCCTCGTCCTCGTCGAGGCCGGGGAAGGCACGCTTGACCAGGCGCAGGGTGGAGCGAGGGACGTTGGGGACGTTGCCCTCGTCGTCAGCCTCGGGCTCCTCGGTAGGGTCCAGGGCAGCCATGGTGATGCGGAACTGGTCAGGATGTCAGCTTCAGAGCTTTGCTCAAGACACGGGCACCAATTCGGCCCGGCCAATGGCCATGAGCCGCAGTAGTACGCTTCTCGTGTCGTGAAAGGACTGCACTCACCGACGCAGGGAACTCCATGGAGGCGGGGATCAAGATCTCGCCAGGCGGGACCTCGAGCCCGTAGACGGGACCAGGGACGGCAGACATCTTGCTGTGTGGGAAAGAATGCAACGGGGTAAAATGACGGAGAGAGTGTTCTCGGCGGCTGAGCAGTCAGGCGCGAATGCAAGAGCGTGAGATAGGAGGAGGGGATTGAAGCGTCTTGCAGTTGCAGGATTTCGCGATGCACGGCGGAGGAAGAGGTGGAAAAAAAGGCTGCACCAGCCCGAGACGCAGCATTTCTGGAAATTTTTCCTTCGCCCAGGCACTCTGGGGCGACGAGGCTGCCGCTTCTCCGCTTTTCGTCCTTGGAGCCAATGGCCATCGCCGATAACGAGCTTATCGGCTCTGGCAGCCCGCCCACCCGCTGTCTCAGCAACGAGCGGGTGCCAGGCCCACTATGATGGAAGCCGGCAGAGCGCAGGCCGCAGGGACTCGCACGCTGGAGGCGACGGGGGACCCGCTGAAGGCCCACCTGCAGGAAGCTTCGGTGTAGCGGCTGCGGGCCTTTCGCGGGCGTCGGGCATCCACTGCTCAGAAGGGTCTGTCGCTGAGTTTTGCACCAGGCACTCTCGCCACTGTACGCACTACGCAGCACAGCCATGAAAGCTGACTCGGGTCGCTTCACTATGCGACGACCAGAGGTTTGCACGTTCAGTCTTCGCTCATGAAAAGATGACCAACAAGAACAACAAGAGTGGGATTGTATTCGACTTCCTTGCGCTACGCCATGCTACTCACCCACGCACGCCCATCCGCGCGACCTCAGCTTCAACCGATCCTCCTGCATCGAGTGCCTGGCCCTCCACTTCGCGAATCGTCATCAAGCTAGCTCGCCTTGAGGCCCTTGCCGTGATTAGCCCCGGTGCGAGACGACGATGACGGCTGTGACGATGCGGAAGGGGAATTCGAAGAAAAGAGGCTTGCGATCCACGCCCGCAGAAGCTGCCACGCGAACCCCGCCATGAACTTACCCTTGCCCTGCTCGTAGAACTGGCCCCGTTCTTCCACCTCGGTCAGCTGCAGCCCGATCTCGACGACGGGCTGCGGCCAGCGCTGGCTCGCCCGCGCGTACGCCGCCATGAGGTCGTTGCCGTTGGTCACGCCGCCTGGAGGAGTCAGTCGCGTTTCTCACTTCTGCCGCGTGCATTCCCGTGTCCGGTCTCGACGGAGAGAGAAGAATTCGTAAGTGAGGGCAAGAAGTTGGAGAAGACGACTCACCGCTCGACCAAAAGTTGCCGTCCCGCACCCACCGGTACTCATCGCCCACGAGCTCAATCTTCGCAAACCTCTCCTTCAGCATCCCCTGCAGGCCCCTCGGCCCACTCGCCCGCTTCCCATCCGCAATGCCCGCCGCGCCGCACACAAACAAGCCCGTGCAAATGGACAGCACGTCGACGCCCTCCACGCCCGCCTGCGCCCTCAGCCACGCCAGCGCGCCCTCGTCGTCAAACGCGAGCATCGGGTCCGGCCCCGGGACCAGCACCACGTCGAGCTTCCCCGGCGCCACCTCCGCGTCGCCGTACGAGTGCGTCGCCCGGATCGTCATGCCCGACGTCAGCGGGATGTCGGACCCCTGCGTCGGCGTCGTGATGTACGCCACGGACACGTGCGGCGCCAGCGCGGCGACGTGGGCGGGCAGCTGCGGGATCGCGGACAGGTACTCGTGCGACATGACGCCCAGGACGTCGACGCACGCCGTGTCGAGCGTCTGCGCGCCGTGCGGGATGAAGACGCCGATGCGGATCGTTTTGGACATGGTGGTGGTTTTGGTGGTGGTGATGTGCTTGGTGATGTACTTTGCCACAATACTTGGGAACGAGCTGAGCCAGGATGACCCTTCAACCTCTCCCGACGCCCGGCCTGGCCCCAACTTATACAGGAACAGAGCCAATGGCGCCCGAACGCCCTCGGGTGAGACGATGTAGACCCTCCGCGCGGCCCCGTCACCGGCACGGCGCCCTCGGCCAAGCTACTCCCCGTCCCGGTCATGACGCGGGCCCTCATTGGTCAATCTCTCTTCAACATCCGGTCCCCTTCGGAAGCCCACGCCGGCGCCATCGGCCACCGTCACACGCCCCACCCGTTCTGCCGAGCCGCTGCGGCTGGCGCCGTCCCGGACTCTCGGCTCACTGTTGCGACCCGCGACCAACCGTGAAGGCCGCACCCTACTCGTAGGGATCCCTCGTCAAGTCAAAAGGCCCCATCCCTTTGAGCAATCCTGCCAAGCCTTTCAAGGTTATTCTTCGATATTAGGTATTAGATAATTACCATTAAGGGTGTGTGTCATGCCAAAAACGTGTGTGCGCTGCGTCGCGTCGTCACCAACACAACTCATCCAATCCCAAGTCTATCGGTCCTGAGCCTGATTGCTGCGTCCCACCCCCCGCTGTGTCTAACGTCCTGACCAGCTGCTGACCCCGACCGCGGCGTCCAGATGCCGTAAGAGACGCCTGTCGTTGTCGTACCATGCAAACCGGGCCCCCTCCCTTACGCGCATCGAGATTGGCGACAGATGGATGGCGTGGCCGCGGGTAGCCGACCAATGCAGCGTTCGTATGCAACTTTCCAAAAAGCCCGGTGATATAGTGCACCTGAGTCTCTTTTGCGCCCTCCGATGCGATCGTGACGTGAGCTGAGGCAGATCCATCGTACCCGAAGCGCTGCGATCATGCTCCTGCATGCCAGGAGGCTGAACCCTCTGGCCTATGGACGCGACCGATTGAAAAGCCTCAGACCAAGTTCTCCGGCATGAGGGGTGTCGCTCTTTGTCTCGTGACCTTCTTGCTGACCGTATACACCAATTCGACGGTCCAAAAGTGACAGATTTCCGCCTGCGCACAGGGGATAGCTCCGTAAAGAGGCGCAACTAGGGGCACCAAGACGTAGTCCATGAAGTTCTTCTTCATGGATCGGTGCGAGAAGCACATGCCGTCGGCGAGTTTGGCAGCTGTCATATCCCTCTCGCGCGTCGTAACGCACGTCCGGTGAAAGCTCTCGTATAGGAACATGTAGCACGCTATCTCCATGAAGCCCATGGTACGAAGCACGGTGCACAGCGAGAAGATCCACCCGAGCTGCTCCAAGTCGTCAGTGCCATCCGTGGCCCACACGTACAGCGCCGAGGCCAGTACAACGATCGTCATATGAACCGGAAGGAAGTGAGCCTCGAACAGGCGGTGGAACAGGTAGAATATGTTTTCCCAATGAAGCTCCTTGAGGGAGCCCTGAGACACGTCGGAAAAGGCATCCTCTTGGAACCGCTCGGAACCGCCGTCGAACTGCGCTTCCGGGGTGTAGCAACTAGGGCCATCGCCTTGTGTTTGGTGGAGGGGCCGGAAAGCGCGGCATGTGTGCTTCCGCTCCTGCCACATGTCCACGACCTGCCGCATGGCGAAGCCCGTATCCAAGGCCCCCCACATGTGCCGAATGGCCTGCTTGTATCGGGCCCTCATATCGACAATGGTTCCTCGGATGCCGCCCTTGCCCCCTCCGGTGACATTGGTCTGGCTCACCGGGCTCAGAACCGTGCGACAGGTGAGATTGCCGTTGAGCGCAAAGAAGCACTTGAGGTACATGTGCAGGTCCTCGCCAATGGCCTCGGCATCGCAGTCCCAGCCTCCCACTCGGTCAACAAGCTCCAGGGGCAAGGAGTAGACGGAGGTCGGTGGCGCAACTGCCGAGCCACGGTACAGACCAGACATGCCAGCGGCACCCCACAAGATGTCTGCTACGCGGACAATGGCAGGCACACTGTGGGCGTTGCGGTCAAATATTATTGGTGCCGCATACAAGGTCGTCGTTGCTGTGTCTGGGTATGCCACGTGCATGCTGGTAATGTTGGCAAAGTACCTCGGGGAGAGATGACTATCGGCTATCTCTTGAGTTAGCAAACCGCGCCAGGTACACACAGACTCCCGGAGGTTGCGGCAGTCAAGCTGGCACTGCATGCTGCCATGCGTCATAGTAGAGCCTGGTCCAGAGCTGACATACCGTCGATTCCCGTGACAATGACATCCCGGCGCGCAGCCATGGGATATTTTGCGCTCAGTGTCCTGGCCGCCCACCCCACATTGCTACCCTTCCCAGCGGCTTCGCCGGGAATGTCAGCAGGATGAAGTGTGTAGTCGATCGACCGAAACCTTTTCGAAAACTCCTCGATAAGGCCAAGGGCTTTGGATTCGGCGTTGGTCTCGCGGTGCTCCATGCCGAGATAAATCTAAAGGGTCATGTCAGCGCGCACTCAGAATAAGTTGTGAAAAGGGTGAGCGGTCGCGGGCGCCCCGTGATAAGAGTTGCGCTGCTCTGGCCGTGGCACCCGCGACTATATGCTGCCGGGACATGAACTCACATCATACGAATAATGCGCCTGCGGGTGAGAGGCCAGAACCTCTAGCGTCTCCCTGAGGGTGTCCAGCTCCTCCTTGTAGTTGGGGATGATGATGGCGTGGATAATCGAGCACGGCGAACAGTTGGCAGCGTCTGTATACCTGTCGAAGACGAAGTTGCTCGTATCGCTAGTGGTCGATGAAATGGCGTTACTTTCCGATGTCATTGTCTCGGATGTCAACGTCTCGGCGCTTGAGATGGAGGCGCATGACCCGCGTCGGCCAGCATCGTTCCCCCTCAACCTGTCCAACGCCGCATTGCTCCGCACAGACTGCTTGAGAGATCGAGTGATATCCCAGACCGACCAGCAGGCGCGCAGAGGGAAGGCAAAGACAAGGACGTGAATCAACAGGCAGTAGTAGGCAAAGACCAAGGTCCAAATGCCCGGGCCGGGGCTCGGGGTGGGCGAGTATTGGGTAGGTGCTTGAGACGACGGGCTTATCTTGCCACTGCCGTGCCGCTCCAGAGTCCAAGCCTGCGAGATTACATGATAGCAAAGTATAATCAGCGCTACCATGCTAAGGCCGCCTGCCCGTCGCGAGCACCACGTAAACAGAGACATTGTTCTCGGACGAGCGCTCGTTGCGGATCGTGGTCGAAGCAGGTGTGGGCCTTAGAATCGACGGTTGACGTGAGAGGCTCGAGGAGTTGGTATGTAAGGGGCCGTATTGCGGCACACGTGCGATAACAGATGAGGCACGCGGCGTCAAACGGAGGACGAGGAGACGGAGAGAGGAAAAGACGCGAGCTGGACAGAGTAGACGGAGGAGAGGAAGGCCGCAAAATACAAGAGAGAGAGAGAGAGAAAGCTAGATGGGGGAGGTTGGTAGCAAGAGCCACGAGGCGCTACGGAGCTTTGGGGCAGCCGCGATGGGGGGGAGCTCATGCCAGAAAGATTAATCGAGGCGGGAGGGAAGGAGTGACCGCCTTCCAGGGGTGACGACGGCGCAGGAAACGGGACAAAAACAGCTGGGGGACCAAAATACCGACACGAAGGCGGAGTGCAGGGGGGCAAGTTGAGCGTGAATCCGGTGACAAGGCTTGGATTCGGGGAGACCAAAGTGTGCGCTGCTCAAGCTTCACATGAGGCATGAGGACGACGGTGCGTCAGAAGGTCGGACGAGCCATCAGACGGCAGATGGGGGCAGGACGCACCGCCTCGCACACCTCACCCAGCTTGGGCCGAGCCTCTCTCAAGGCTACCCGCCCATGATCTTGATGCCCATGATGCCCTCCCGTGTAAGTCGCGCAGCGCGACGTTTGGGGCGGCTGGGCGGCTGGACGCGGAGTCCAGGGCCGTGGGCGCGCCCGGTTGCGTCCCGTTATCACCGCTCCTCGCTCATGCGGACGAGATCTTCAACGGAGCCAGATTCAACGGGACATGGGGCACACGGCATGTCACTGATACAAGGCACCTCCGTGCTCTGACGACTGGCACTGGAGGGCGCCCGCTCTGATGGACGTCGCACAAGGTACGAGCAGAACAACATGGCCGCGCTTAGCCCAGGCAGGAAACCGGCTGTCCGTGCCATTGGCCAGCTTGAGCTGGGCTCGCAACGTGGGAAGCACCCATGGCTGGAGCGTGGACGTCGAGTTGCTGAAACCGTGGGCGTCGTTGTTGTAACTTGTCGTCGTCGGTCCCCGTGGCTGTTTGGTGGCTGCGGCGTGGGGCCCCTGGGCAAGCAAGCTGCCAGGGCCAACTTGATCAAGGGTCTGATGGGCGCTCCGCGGCCGTTTCTCCCTCAAAGCCCAGCGCCCCATGAAAGGCCCCGGCACCTAGATCTTGACTTGACCGGTTCGGGACTGAGATTCAGAGGGTGATGGGACCCATCATCTCTGAGCCAGCCATCCCAGAATCTCCACACAGCAGCAGCAAATCGCTGGCAAACGTGGGCGAGCGATGCTCCGCGTTGGGCGAGTCACGGTCGTTGCCAGCGCACAGAAGCACATTCTGGTGCGACAATTATCTTCTCTGTCCCGGTTTGATGCAGCGATGTAGCAACGGAGAGGCACGCACGAGGCGGGCCAACACGTTGGAAACAACCGACACCTCCCGTCTTCGGCGTGACAGATGACGGGGTGCACGACGTCGTACAGAGTACCTGACCTGCCCTGTACAGTACCTGATACTGCGGTGGGTGGCTGCCCGGCTCCGTTGCAAGTCGTGACCACCACCCGTCGTCGTCTCGCGATGGCTCATCGCCGCGACGGGAACGGGAGCCGAGTTGGCGTCATGTGCAGGCACAGCCTCGGGACCTTTGTGAGGATATGGGTGTACTTCTCGCAGATCTGAGGCGACGGCTTACTCGAGCTGCGTGTATGTGCGAAGCGCACGGTCTTGGCAGATGCAATTGCTGCGCAAGCCAGGATATAAGCTGGATGGACGCCTCGAATGCAGTAGTGGTTTACCTGTGAGAGGCCAGACGTCTGGGTCATCATGGCTTGCATTCGGCTGTCGCGTCAAAGTACCGCCCTATCGTTTACAGACGCCCACGCAACTGTGTTAGTGGAGAGGTTAAGCGACACAGCCAAATCGCCTATGAGAGAGAGGAACAGGAAGGTACCAGCGGGGTGGTTGGTCTTTCCACACAGCCCGCGCCGCAATCGTCATCCGGTCTTGGCTTTGGCTGCCTCCCTCAATGTATCCCCGGGGGCTTCACATCCTCCATCCATTGACCGGCAGCAGCAGCTCATCTCCCCCACCGTCACCGCCCCCATCTCGCCACGATGAACACGCGTCGCTTCGCCAAGCATCGGATGCCAGAGTCTCCGAGGATCTTGAGCACCGCCTAACCGAGCACAAGAAGTCCAACTCGTTGACCCGGATTGGATCATGGTGACTGCCACCAAGACAGCCCTCACTCTTCAGCATCGGCTGATGGCCTCAGCATACGTACGACCAGCGTGGTATCTCCATCACTCGCCGCTAGTCTTTTGCACACTGATCCTGTAGCGCCCACCTTTGTCCATCACCTTCTCGTCATGTGGACCGACGCCGTGATCGACCGCGGCGATATTCATTTGGCAGCATGAGGCCATCGTCGGTGGCCCCGTCCTCTGGACAGCGTTGTCGCCTCAACGTTGGTTTCCGGCTGCCTCTGAATGGCCCGACTTCCGCGATGATGGCGTCGTGCAAAGGCCGAGCGCCTTCAATCGCGAGCCTTGTATGCCGCACGGGGTGTTCTAAGTGGCCGACATAGCTTCAGCCACATCCACCCCTGGCGCTCATGGCTTGCCGCCCGTTTGTCTCACAAGGAACCGTTCATGCCCCACCTGGAATTGACTGCCGCTGCCAGCTCTCAACGTCCGAGTCTTGTTCACCGTCACGAGCATCGTCTACGGCATCTACAAATGCAACCCATGGCGTGTGCGTCTACGTTGGGATATCGTTGCTTCAGATGGAGATTCGCCAACATGGTCTAGCACGTGGCGCCAACGACTCGCCATTGTTTGCTCGACATCACCGCTGCTTCAGCCAAGTCTGAGCATGTGAGGGGAGTCACCTGGATCACCGTCTCTGTGCATGAATCGAGCGCCATGTACTCAGTACATCTGGTCTTCTTGATCTGAAGGAGAATAAATTGATTGGATATTGTCCCATTCGCCTCGGGCAATGCGTTACCCGTCCAGATGAATGCCACCTTGCGGGCCCCAGGGTAGTACGGTCCGTGGCCAAACAGCGAGAATTGCATTCGCAACCTGTCTGAGTCGGCTGTCTCCCGAGGCGTGCCTATGGAAAGGCCGGCCGCATACGCAACATGGACCACCGCCACTGAGCAGAATTGCCAACATGCTACCGACCCTCCAAAGATAAAGGTGTCTGGCGGCGCCGCTGTCGCAGACCGCTCGTCACCGTCGTTCTAAATCCATCGACGGGAAGGCAGCGGCGACAATGTGCACCCACTACCCGCGCGGGCCAGAAAGCGCCGTAATGGACGCTCGGGTTCTGGAAACAAGCACACGTGGCTTGAATCCTCTCGATGATGTCGTCAAGGTTGCCGACTGCATATCAACTCTCCAACGTGACAAGCGGTCGACTGCCTGGCTTCAACGTCTTAGAGTTCTGAATGACGCCATCGTTGATCCTCCAGCTTCTTGCTGCTAAGCTGGCTCTTCCTGCCCTCTTGCCGGCAGCCAGCCGCGCAGCGAGCCAGCGGTATTGGGTATCTCGAATGTCTGCACCGTTGACAAGGTGTAGATATGGCCATGTCCAGCCACAGTGCACTTGTGTGCAAAATTGTGCAGCAACTGAACCACGATGGCCGGCATTGTGTCGGTCTGGACTCGTACACGTGCTCATTGGAGCAAGCAATTGTTAGTAATTAGTCCGCGTCGAGAGCCTGGGCTCATGGAGCCTTTTCGAACAGCTCCATGATGGGTTTCGCCGCCTATAGTGATTCAATGTCAGCCCGCTGGCGAGCAATGTATGCGCGCGCAGCACGTACGTCAATAAACTTCTCCAGATCGTGGTCCAGATTGGCGAGGTCGTCCTTGCGGCGCTTGTTGTCCGCAATAAGCTTCTGCTTGCGCTTGAGGAGCTCCTGGCGCTGCTGCTCGAGGGCCTCGCGCTCCGCCCGCTCGTGGTCGATACGCGCCGTCATGAGCTCGTTCTCATCATCGTTGGCATGCTCAGGATGCTGGGCGAGGAACTCTTCCACGGGGATGAGAGGCAGCTGCTGGTACTTGTGGCTGTGAGGGAGGGTTAGCTGTGCAACAGACGGTGGCGGGTACTGGTTGAAGGGGCGACGGATCCCAGAACGTACTCGTAGGACTCGCAGGCGGCAATCTCGCCCTGGAGATGGCGCTGCTCGTAGTAGAGGTTCTGGAGCTGCAGGTGCAGGCGGTCGACCTCCTGTCGGCCTTCGGAGGTGAGAGCTTTTGTCTCGCGGGCGGCGACGCAGGCCGCGCGGTGCAGGCCGCGCAGGTGGGAGATGCTGGTGAAGAGCTGCTTCTGCTGCTTGGCGATCTCGGCCTGCAGCTCGGCCGAGGGGCGGCCGTCGCGGGCCTGATCGGTGAGGCGGAGGACGGCGTCGGCCTGGTCGCGGGCCTGGTCCGATGTCTGGAGGACGGCGTTGAGGGTGGGCTCGCTGACGATCTTGTCGATGGCCATGCTGTGCTGGGTTGGACGCGGCGGCGCGCGTCTGGCTGACCTGGTGATGGTCGAGGTCCTGGAGGCAGGATGGACGAGGGGGCGTCAGGCTAGAGGAGGGAACACGAGAGGCTCGATGGAGCGGGTGCAGACACGGGCAGCAGGCGAGTCGGCGGGCGCAAATGATCGGTGCGGAGGAGGTGATGCGATTGTTGAGCTGCTCGCGTGCTGATGAGGGCGGTCGGCGATGGTGTTTGACACCTGCACCGCACAAGCTGTCAATGGAGCAGACGTTGGCACGGCGGAACGTTCCGCTGGCGGCTCGGAAATGCTAGTCGCTCCAGGGTAGGCAAGAGTGGACGAACCGAAACTTTTTTTTTGTTTGTTGCTGGGCGGGTGAGTGAGTGGGTGCTGGCGAATTGTTGGCCTCGGCTTGCCTGTTGAGGTGCGCCACCTGCGCAACAGGCGCCCGCCTGCCCGCCCCGCGGCGACGTCGCCCACGGGTTTTGCAGCGCCTCAGCGGGGCCTTGGCACCCCGCCGGGCGGCACTGCTGCCCAGCAGGCGGTTCAGGCCGATGCATGTCGCAGGGCGTCATTTCGGAGGCCCGTGGACGCTCCGCCGAGTTGACTCGGCTCTCTAGGTAGGTTTGCTTTTGCGTGCGCGCGCACGCGCTCAATTGACAGGGTCTGCCGGGCGCAAACACAAGGAGAGACTCTCGGCATGACTGTCTAGCATGTGTGTTACGATCCTTGTGAGAAGCGCCGCCGCAGCTCAGCCTGTGCGCCCACGAAGCACAAGGTTGCACATAAACTCTCCAGCGTAACGCTACAGGCCGCCCGCCCGCCAGCCCCCCGAACGGCAGGCAAGCAGGCGCAGGGTACCTAATTATCCGCCCGCTCCGCGCCGCGATCAGCGCCGCCCGCCCACCAATCGTTCCCCAACAGTGGCAACCCCCGTCACGCCTGCGCCCCCCCGGACGCTTTCTCTTGGCCGCCCCCAATCCTTCTGCACCCCCCTCCCTCGCGTAAAATCTCCCTCCCCATCGCCGCCCGCCGAACCGAAGCAGAAGACGACTGCACATAATACCCTCGTCAGCCAGCCCGAACCCTCCCGCCCGTCCGCTCAGTCATCGACCAATTGGCCCCCCGCTTCTCCGCCCGTGCCTCATGTAGAGGCAGCGACGACGACGAGTGCCATCATCATCCCCTCCTCATTCCTCAGCGGTTCGACATCTCCCACTCGCTGCGCCAGAGACGAAACGGGGAGCGGCATGCCGGCCCAACGTTGAAAACAGACCCTCCCCCTCTTGTCGCTTCCCCCTGCCGGCTCGCCCACCATGAGCGACGTCACCACGGCGCTCACATCGGCCTGCGCCTACAAGGCCCGCGACGACGATGGCCTGACGTCCCGCTCCTCGACCAACGTCGCCGTCGCCTCCGGCTCCGATCCGAACAACGGTCCGGACCCGACGACGAGGCAACGCCGCCGCCACTCCTTCTTCCTGCCCCGCCGCAAGTCCATCGTCGAAACCATCATGGACGGCGAGGAAGGCCTGCTGCTCAAGGTCGACCTCTTTCTGTCCGAGCTCGAGCGCCGCCTCGACTTCATCGAGAGCTATGGCGACCTCGGCCGCGACTACAGCATCTCGCGCGCCTTTTCCACCCTGCAGGCCGTCCGCACACGATGCTCCCAGGCCTCCGAGGAGGTGCTCGGCGCCGGCCGCCGGCGCCTGCACGTCATGGTCGAGACGCTCGAGGCGCGGTACCAGGAGACGCTTGAGGCCACCGAGTCTCTGCACGAAAAGGCTCGCGTCGGCATCGACCTCCTCGAGGACATGCTCTCCGAGTTTGAGGTCCGCGCCTACAAGTTGCGCGAGCAGGGGCTCGCCAACGCAGCCAACGCCGCCGAGGCCTTCATGGGCGAAGGCCGCCGCGTCGTTGACGAGGGTATCGAGCGCGCCCGCGGTGTCGTCGATGAGGGTATCGAGCGTGCTATGCGCGCCGCTTATTCCCTCGAAGAACACATCCAGCAGGCTGTCGCCCTAGCCCGCGAGCGCCGCCTCTTGCTCTACGATGATCTGCCCATGCCCTGGCGCAACAACCCGCACATCAAGCGCGGCTACCGCTTCACCGAGACCAAGGTCGAGTGCGTGCGTTCCATGTTCAACATTTCTAACGAGTCCTTCAACATCTGGTCCCACGCCCTCGGTCTCGTCCTCGTCCTCGCCGTCGCCTTCTACTTCTACCCCAGCAGCGCCAACTTCGACCTCAGCACCAAGACGGACGTGTTCGTCGCCGCCGTCTTCTTCGTCATGGCCTGCCTGACCCTCGTGTGCTCCACCATCTGGCATACCATGAACGCCGTCGCCGACGTCGACGCCATCTCCATCTTCGCCTGCGTCGACTACACGGGCATCTCCCTCCTCATCGCCGCCTCCATCATGACCACCGAGTACACGGCCTTCTACTGTGATCCCGTCAGCCGGTGGACCTACATGTGCCTCACCGCATTCCTCGGCGTCGGTGGCGTTGTCCTGCCGTGGCACCCGCGCTTCAACGGCGCCGACATGGCCTGGGCCCGCGTCGCCTTCTACGTCGGCCTCGCCCTCACTGGTTTCATGCCCATCCTGCAGCTGTACTGGACACACGGCCCAGACTTTGTCACCAACTTCTACTCCCCCATCACCAAGTCCATCCTGGTCTACTTCGGCGGCGCCGTCGTCTACGCGAGCAAAATCCCCGAGCGCTGGTGCCCCGGCATGTTCGACTACATTGGCGGGAGCCACAACCTCTGGCACGCCGCCGTCCTCGGCGGCATCCTCTTCCACTACACCGCCATGCAGCAGTTCTTCGCCAACGCCTTCCACCGTGCCGAGGGCGGCTGTCCCTCGTACTAGCCGAAGAGCGGCTGTCGGGGCAGCCTGTGCCTGTTCGCCTCCTGCCGCACCGCCTGCGGGAGTCGGCGGGCGTGCCGGCGTCGAAGGTGGGCGGCGACGACGATGCGGGCGCTATGACGATATTCTCCTCGTGACGGGCCGATCCAAGAATCTCTCATATGTGGCTACGACGACACACGGACCGTTTCAGTGACATGATCGACGATGGGAACGACGACGACCGACCACCCGAGGGAGGCACACGAGCCATGAGCCGGGTGACGCGCACCTGGCAATTTTACCGTCTTGTCTTTTATTTATGTTTGTTTTTTTCTTGCATCGATACAGCGGCGTTTGTTTTGGGTCATCATCGTCGCACCCATGGGCATTTGTCGGCGAGCTTTTTTTTTTCTCTTCTCTTTCTTCTTGTATATATACTTTTGAGTCGAGCGACGATTACAAAAGCTCACATAGATGAAGACAAAGATTTACATATATACAGGAAACCGCACCACTGTAGATGTTGGACCAGCCATGTTTGGTAGTCTCGTAGTGTGTCGGTGGAGTTGGTGTAACACGTCATTTGCTTGCCCTTGGGAACTAAGGTCGATTGCTGTGTGACGACTCGTACTGTCTGTAACTCCGGTCGGAGCCTCGCGTATCGTTCGTTGTGTCACTGTAACCGGGTCGAACAGCTCGGACCACCCCGTACAGAATACCCTATCGAACATGTCGTCTAACTGCTCGTTCGAACCTCTTGTACCTCCAGCCAGTAGGCACAGTACCATGGGGAATTGTCCGTTGCCCGATCGACCATCACGGAGAGAAATTGCACATGAACAAGAACGCAGCACGACAAGAGCATACTTGATTCAGCCATAGCGGCCCGCAGAGTGGTCGCCGCATTGGAAAATCGGCCATCTCGTCAACTCCTCCAAATTCTCCATCACCCTGTCCTGTCCCGATTCGTCCAGAGTACCTGCGTTAATTTTCCCCATGTCCCGACCTAGAGCCAGTGCCCGTTGAACCATGCTCTTTCCCTTGCTCGTACAGCACCATTAAAATCAACTAAAAAGTTCAAAACAAGATGTACATGCAATAAATTTCATCATCATAACAGTCATGATACGCTTGCTCGCCGTCGCGGACGGCAGCCGCTCTAGAGGGCATGCATGACAATCTCGGCGTAGACGTCGTCGGGAATCTTCTTGATTATGCCAATGGTGACGCTCTTGACGAGATCCGCGTTGAGCTGTGGGAAGGATCGGAGTACCTTGTTGGGACTACTGTATTGTCAGCACACGAGTGGCTCCTCGCAAAGGTAGTACGGCATGGTAACTGCAAAGGACTGACCTGGGAGACTGCAGGATCTGGGCCCGCATGATTGTGAGCTGCGCCACGATGCAGACAATGTTGAGATGCGGCCCGTACGCAAACAAAAAGTCCCAGAGCCGCAGGACCTCTGGGAGAGGAGGCGTGCAGGCACAAAGGGTCAATACTGAGGGGAACGCATAGATCTCGGCTGAGAGACCCTTGGCCGTGAGGTACATGCTGAGCTTGGGGTCGACAATGGCTAGGACTTTGTCCACGAGAGCCAGGCCGCGGTGCACACCGTCCATGGCTCCGCGGATATATGCCGGGCACTCGCGCGTGAGCAAAGAGTGGAAAGCTACAAAGGCCTCGGCCTCGCTGCGAGCCGCGTACAGGAACGGGGCAGCGAGAACGTTCATGCCCTGCACGTACGTTCCCGGCTCAGGTCCGGCATTGGATTCTGTAGGGCAAAGATTGTCAGCAGGTGAAGCGCGACCGTGCGACGGCCTGCTTGGGAGACGGACTGGCTTGCGAGTTTCCCGAGACGCTCCCCGTCAGGCTCTCTCGAGGATGTGAAGAATGTCGGCTGCTCGGTCGGCTGGTCTGTCGCTGGTCCTCCTTGGCGTCGTGAAGCCTCCAGGCGACGGCGTTGAGGAGGCGGATCAAGCTGGCCTCGCTGACGCGACGGCGGAACAGGGGGTCGGTCGTCAGAGTACGGAAGGTGTCGTTGCGGATCTTGGAGTAGGCGGGGGATGCGCCGCGATGGACGAGCGCGAGGTATTCATCGGTGGGCATTATGGGCGCATCGAGTAGGACCATCCATACGTATATCCTCAGTGTTGACTGGTTATTGGTATTAGCAAGCCGCGATGACGATGATGTGTCGACGGTTGGAGGCACGCACCATTCCATCCTCGGCACTCTTGATGCCCTCGTCAATGACCTTCCACCTGGCGCTCTCCAGCGCACCGACAAAGTCGCCGTCGTTAGGGCCATCGCGTATGATTTGCTGGAGCGTCAGGTGGCCGTGGGAGAAGACGGGCTTCTTCAAGCCGGAGCGCTTGGCCGAGGCGGCGACGGCGGACAGGTGGTGGATGGGGGGCGGCGTGGCATCGCTGTTGGCGCGGCCGCGGTGCGGCGAGCGGTTGCTGGCGCCGGGATCGCGCGTGGGAGAGGAGCCGCGCTGGAGGTCGCGACGCTGCTGCGAGATGAGCGACGGCTGGTTGAAGCTCCGGGCGGCGCCGAGGGTGTGAGCGGACTGGAGACGGCGCAGGGCGCGGTGCGTCCGCGGCGACGGGGGAGGCTGCAGGTCGGTTACATGATGGGCGGCGGGGATGGCCGTGGCAGACTGCTGCTGGATCGAGGACGTCGAGGTGGCGGTCGTTGCTGGGGATGAAGATGTGGGCGGCGGGGCAGCTTGGTTGGCGTCGCGGGAGGGGCTGGGCATCGTGACGCGCAATGACGAGGACGCACGGGACGGAGAGGGCGAGGGCGAAGGCGAGGGCGAGGGCGCAGGCGACGAGCTACCAGCGGGGCAACGGAGCGTGTTCGCTGGTCGGGATCATGGCAATTGGAGCTGAGGGGAGGCTGTGGTGATGACGAGTGCGCGACTGACGAACGGGTTGGTGTTTTGGGCGTGCCCGGCCAAGGTGGGCGGTGGGTAGTGGTTGAGACGCGGGGTGCCGGCGCGCGCGTCCGATTCGGCAGCTGGCAAGGTTCCTTGTTGCCAGGGCACGCTAGCAGCTGTGCCGCTCCACTGTTGTTCGCGGAGCACCTGCCCGGGCTTGCCTTATAATTAGCCCTGGGAGGCCCATCGTGTAGGGCTGCTCGACAGGGGGGCCAGGGGAGCCTCCTTGAACATGGGTGATGGAAGGTGTTGTTGGCCTTTGGTTCATTGCGTAGGCCAACAAAACTCTCCGAGGTCAATTATTGACGAGCAAATCATCATGCGTTGTTCAAGATTACGTTTTCGTATCATCTTGGAAACCCATGGCCTTGATCTATCTTTATTCTCGCATCCCGTAAAAGCCCACGTCGCTTACAACTTACAAACACGGCCTGGGGGCTCTAGATGCGAAGCCTCTGCTTGCCTTGCGCAACTATGTGATGGCTGATGCTCGAGACGCGTTCGCCTGGCTGCTTGCCCAGGTATTGTTTACCTAAATTGAGTTACGGTACAGTACAGTACGCCTTCGTCATCAGATCTTGGCCGTCGTCAGCCCCGACTCGAACCAGCTCCTCGATTAGCACGACACATACGCGCAAAGACACCGATCCGTGCGGCTGCCAGCTAAAGAAAACGCAAACCCGAGATCCTGCGTGGCCGGTGCACTGAGCAGCATCTCTCTGGATACGTCACGACTGTCCCGACCACACGGGAGTCGGGTCACTCCATACAGAAACCCGGACGGCACCGAACCGCGACGGCGGCTCGGCAGTGACTTTCCATCGACGCGCCCCCATCTTCATCGAGGTCTCTACAGCATATCCCCGTTAACCCCATCGTATTGCCGCGCAAATCGCTGAAGAATGGAAACCGGCAAGCCCGAGCCGTTTGCCCGTCCTTGGCAGAGCTCACCGGAGTCTTGGGAGTCTCGGAGTCTCAGACACGGGCGAGCGGCCGCAGGGCCTCGAACCTTCGAATGCTCCCTCACCACTCCTAGATTACAGTAGCATGTGCAATGATTGCTACTGAACACCAGACTGACTGAGACGGGAGGGGAGGAACGAAGGCCGTCTTCGCTGGCCCCTATCGGCGGTATTCGAAATTTCGCGCGCCGCCCAGGCGCGTGACCGCCCATCGCAGCGGTACAGTTGCATTCTTTGCGAAACCTATGCCTCTCTTCGCTCTCTCTCCCTCCCTCTTTTCCTTCTCCTGTGGCCACATCCCATAGGCTCTCGGCGACGGCCCGACCGACCGACTGGGAGGACTCACCCTCGCTGCACATACGCCGACGAGCCGTCGATGCGAACTAGAAGGCGGCCCGTCCGCTCTCTCGGTTGGGCGCCGGTCGGTTTCTGTTGATCCCGCGGAGGGCGCGCGCCAGGGCCAGCTGCCGGCCCTTGTGGCGGCGCTGGTCTCAGGTCTCAGTCAGGTACGGCCCGTATTAGGCATCTGCCGTCGAACGCGCGCACCGGCTACTGCACAGCTAGGATTGTGCCCTTCTTACGAAGTTACGAGTCAAGTATCGAGCATGGAGGATCGAGGACGCGAGATGGACAGATTCGATTGGGATGTGGCGTAGATAGAGTTGACGAACCGTGTCGGCAGGTACAGTATGTGTGACCGTGTTTTCTCTTTCCAAGGTTCGTCGAGGCACCCAAACCGCTGCAACCCCATTATGCTGCCTTCACGATGCTCCGCTGTTGGTCGTGTGCTCTGCAGGACTGCAACAGAGACGGCCACCTCGACACCTAAAACCTACCCTTCCTCCCTCCCTCCCTTGGGCAGTGGACGACGGACACCTCCCGTTCCATGCATGTTACAGTAGTCAGTGCATCTGCCCGCCAAGCCGGCATCTGCCACCTGCCTCCGCCACAGTCCCGCAGCGGTGTTCAGATCGAATATCAACGCTGCCACTATATCCGTCCCTCCGCAGCAACCACGAGTCATGGGGACTCCTGCCGCAGCAGCAGCAGCAGCAGCAGCAGCACCTGCGAGACCGGATCGCCCCTACCTTCCATACCTGCATTAGACTCGATATGAGGTCGCATTCTCCAAGCACCTTAGGTTCTAGAACTGCAAACCTTGTCGTCTCTTGCCTCGGCCCTACCGCCTTCTGGGTTGCAGTCCGCAACAACTCAAAACCACCATCGTGATATTCCGGGTTCCTGGCTGTGCATGAGTTAGTCGTCGATTATGGGCAACAGCAGCAGCAACAACAACAGCACTGGTTTCAATGGCTCGCCCCGTCAAAGGCATCGTGGCACGCGGCTGCTCGTGCGCCGTCGAGGAAATAGACGTCCCGCGCCCACCCCACGCATCGACGCACCGTTATATGCCCAAACACCGTGGGCATCTAGCGCGTTCGAGCCATTCCCTAATTCCTCGTCGGCGAGTTTCCGGCCGTGTAAATCACCCATTCACTGCACGGCCCCCAGATGGCCTACCTTACCATCTGATGCCAAAAGGTAAAACGGGCTTGCCGTCCACGTTCCGCGACGAGACCTCCCCCCTCTTCCACGGCCGAGGCCACCCAGATGTGAGACCATACTTATTGCCCGGCTTGCCGTGCTCGCGTGCCCTTTAACCTTCCTCGTCCTCCCCTCTCTTCCACCCGTCTAACCTTCGACTACCTAGTTTCCATTCTTTCACCTCTTCTTAATATTCGTGGTCGTCTTCGAGCAGCCGTGCTTCTCAGGTCCTTGCGGCGCCTATCCACTTTCCACCCTCGGGGACCGCGCGCAATCTAGAAGCCTCGCTTGTTCGGCCCGAAAGACTGCCAGCCGGTAGATGTTTGCGCGCCCCCGGCATCTGCACCCCAGAAACAGGCGAACAGTGCCAAGACGGCGCCTGGGTATCGCAGAGGTCCAGACGCAAACAACGTTAATTGCTGCACTGCTTGGTTGTTGAAGAGTGTTGGAGAAGTCGGAAGCGCGAAGAACAGCTAGTTGACTTATATCATTCTCCCGCTTCCTTCGGAACCCCTCCAGCTAACAAAGCCGCCGACGGCCTCTTTTCGACATTCCTTTACCCTCCGCATCCGGCCAGCATGCCCACCGTCGCAGGCAAGGTTGGTCGCTCCCTGGCCACGGTCCTCGGAATCGAGCTCCAGGACCGAGATGTGGACTCTGAGGACAGGATCCCTGGCGGAGGCTTCGCTCCGCCCACAGAGAGATACATCGAGCAGCGCGTCGCCACCTCTGAATGGATTCGCGAACAGCTCCCGTCCCCGCGAGGCGCCGCCGGGTACGCCAGGTCTCTGTTCCCCTGCGTGGCATGGCTGCCGCACTACAACCTCCAGTGGCTTACCGGAGACGTCATTGCGGGTTTGACAGTCGGCGCCATCATCGTGCCCCAGGGCATGGCATATGCCTCTCTAGCTAAGCTGGAGCCGCAATTCGGCCTCTACTCGTCGTTCATGGGCCTCGTCATGTACTGGATCTTCGGCACGTCAAAGGACATCTCCATCGGCCCGGTCGCCGTCTTGTCCACTGTCGTGGGCTCCGTCGTCGAGGCCGTCCAGGCGACTCCTGCCGGTAAGGACACGGCGGCGCACATCATTGCCTCGGCCTTCAGCTTGGTCGCCGGCGCCATTATCTTGGGTTTAGGTCTCCTTCGCTGCGGTTGGATCGTCGACCTCATCTCCATTACCTGTCTGGCCGCCTTCACGACAGGCTCCTCCATCAGCATCATTGGCAGCCAGCTGCCCGCCCTGTTGGGCATTGAGGGAGTGCGTACGAGAGATCCTGCGTACAGGGTTTACATCAACACCTTCAAGCGTCTCCCGAAGACGCAGCTTGACGCGGCAATGGGCTTGACGGCGTTGTTTGCGCTCTACCTCATCCGTTACTGCTTGAACAGGGCGGCGGATAGATACCCTAAGCACAGGCGCGTCATCTTCATCGTCAACACCATGCGCAACGTCTTCGTCATTCTGCTCTACACAATGATCAGCTGGCTGGTCAACATGAACAGGCGGTCCAAACCTGCGTTCCGCATCCTCGGGGTGGTGCCGAGTGGTAAGAGAAGACTGCTTTGACTCGAACCCAAAGCAGCATTGCTGATTTTCTGCGCTTCGCAGGCTTCCATGACGTTGCTGTCCCCGAACTAGACCCGGCCATTGTCTCGAACCTCGTCTCTCACCTTCCTGCAGGTATCATCGTCATGTTAGTCGAACACATTGCTGTCGCCAAGGCCTTTGGAAGGATCAGCGACTACACCATCAACCCCTCTCAGGAGATGGTCGCCATTGGCATGACCAACATTCTCGGCCCGTTCTTGGGTGCCTTTGCCTCAACGGGCTCGTTCAGCCGGACGACCGTCAACTCGAAAGCAGGCGTCCGGTCGCCTATAGGAAGTCTGATCTCCGGTCTCATCGTCTTGATTGCGACATATTGCCTGACTAGCGTGTTTTTCTATATCCCGTACACGGTCCTTTCGGCGGTCATCATGCATGCGCTCGGCGACCTCATCACCTCGCCCAACACCCTGTATCAGTTCTGGAGAGTGTCGCCATTGGAGGTGATTATCTTCTTCCTCGGCGTCTTGGTCAGCGTCTTCGAAGGTATTGAGGAGGGCGTTTACGCTACTGTCGGCCTTTCAGCTGTCATTCTCATGTACAGGATCCTCAAAGCCCGCGGGTCATTCCTGGGCAAGGTCCGCGTTCATTCGGTGCTGGGAGACCAGGTCATTGGAGAGGATTCACCAAGGCCGATTGGGGAGTACAAGTCCTTCGAGGACCCAACGAGCGCCGCCAGGAGCGTCTTTCTCCCCTTCGACCACGGCGATGGATCCAACCCGAGCGTCGCACTGGAGAGCCCGTATCCCGGCATCTTCATCTACCGATTCTCAGACGGATTCAACTACCCCAACGCGAACTACGCGCTGGATCACCTCACCGAATTCATATTCGCAAACACTCGCCGCACGAGCGAGGAGCAGTTTGAACGAGAGGGCGATCGCCCATGGAACAGGCCCGCGGCACAGAAGTCACACCGAGGAGACCAGCTTCCAACGCTGAAAGCCGTGATCCTGGACTTTAGTTGCGTCAACAACATCGACGTCACGTCGGTGCAATGCATGATTGACGTAAGGAATCAGCTGGACCAATACACCGCGCCGGAAGTCGTTGACTGGCATGTCGCGTGCATCAACAATCGATGGGCAAAGCGAGCCCTCGTGACGGGCGGCTTTGGCGTTCCCACAAAGAGCGGCGACAGCCCAAGTCACAGATGGAGGTCCATCTTCAGCGTTGCCGAGATTGGAGGCAACAGGTCCGCCGACGACCGACACAAGCTCAGCGAGACCTCGCAGTCGGATGACGAAGAGTCGGGTCCGGATGGCGCGGGAATCTTCAAGGCCAAGCCTTCATCCACACATATCGAAGAAAAGCCCATGAGGGAAACGAGAAAGGGCGTCGTGATTCACAGCCTCGACAAGCCCATGTTCCACGTCGACTTGACGAGCGCACTGCAGAATGCGATTGCCAACGTCGAGGCCAGGAAGGAGTTTCAGCCAATCATGGAGTCGGACTAGGCAAGATGACCGTGCTTTGACTACTTAGCGAAGCGTTGAAGAAAGGCGTTTGAAAATCTTGACTTCAGTTTGTTCCCATCACTCATAGTCTCGCACATCATGACCCAGGCCAGGGATAGGGTATATAGAGGTTTAGATAAAGGCGACAGATCCTTCTGGGGATCCGTGTACAAAAGCAAATGTTGAAAAACGAATTATGATGAGAAATGAACGATAACGTGAGTAAGGAGAAATATGAGCTGTAAATCTTGCAAGAGGACTTCGGTGGCGACAATGAATCTGTGAGTGAGCCTTCACTCAAGTTTAAGTGGAAGGAGTGGGTCACCTGACTTCGTGTCGGTTTCGTCCCGCCGACATTCACGTCTCCCCACGACACTTCAACTTTCCGCATCATCGACAGCTCCGATCCCATCCGTTCGCTGAGCGGCTGCCAGTCCTTTTGCTGCATCTTTCAATTACCCATGAGCAAGTTTGTCGAACCCATCCTGTAAAGCCGGCTCCGCAACGATTCTTCCGTCAGTTTGCACCGACCGGGGCAAGCCGCCGCCATGCCTTGGGGCATCCAGCGTCTAAACGCGCGAAAGTCGCAGCCCAACCCCAACATCGTGTTCATCAAGCCCCTTCCCGGATCTACGGAGAAGACTGCACAAGACTTTTTGGAACGGATCGCGGCACAATGCGGTAGGGTTACCGCACAGGTAAAAAGGGCTTTCAAGTCGAGCACGGTCACTGACTTGTCACACTCATCCCAGTGCCCGTCATGCGAAAGCACAGCCTCTACGTCATGACGCTGGAAGAGTACGAGCCCAACCTCGAGTTCGTCGGCCGCAACTTCAACGCCGGCGAGGTGATCCAGCTGGTGCTGCGGTCGCCCCGCTCCGGACGCTGGCTGCCCTTCGAGTACGTCCAGATGGTCATGATGCACGAGCTCGCGCACTGCAAGCAGATGAACCACTCGCGCGCCTTCTGGGCCGTGCGCAACGGCTACGCCGCCGAGATGCACGGCCTCTGGCGCGACGGCTACCGCGGCGAGGGCATCTGGGGCCGCGGCGCGAGCCTCCGCACCGGCGAGTGGGCGCGCGACGCTGTCCGCCCCGACGAGGAGCCCCTGCCCGAGCACCTCTGCGGCGGGACGTACCGTTCGCGTGGCCGCAAGCGCAAGACGAAGCCGACTCTCACGTACCAGGAGCGAAAGGAGAGGAGGATCCTCAAGAAGTTTGGGAAGAACGGCGTGGCCCTGGGCGCCGACGAGGAGGCAAAGGTCAAGCTGGAAAAGGGCAAGCGGATACAGGCCAAGCCCAGGGTAGCTGGCAGCGCACGGGGCCGCGAACTTCGCGCCGCGGCCGCGTTGGCTCGGTTCGAGCAGCAGAAGGAGGAAAAGATGGATCTGAAGCAGGAAGATGGCGATGGCGAAGAGACTGAATCCGGCAGCGAGAGCGAGTACGAGGACGGTGACGCCGGAGATCTGGACTCTAAAGACGCGTTGGATGTGGACGGCAGTCGACTTACGGACAGCAAAGGCCGGGGCATGGTGCGGGTCTGCGAAGACGAGGACACAAACGACCCGGATGCCAGGAATGAGCTGGACGAACTACGTGACGTCTTCAAACACACAAGGATAAAGCGGGAGTCTCCTGGGCCGAACCCAATGGACCCGCGGGTTTGGACAGAGCTGAGGGGTGATGGTCATGAACCTCAACCAGCACCATCCAGGCGTATCAAAGACGAGCCTGCAGAGGAGACCAGCATCGCATCACTCCCCAAGGCGCCGACCCGGACAACAGACTTACAAGCAACTCGCATAAAGGCGGAACCACACTCCGAGGAAACTACAAAACCGTCGGCCAAACCTCACCCCAGAGGCATCTCTCAAAGCACAGAAGCACCTTCAGAAGCACCTTCTGAAGCACCTTCGACATCGGCATGCTCCATGTGCTCTTTTGACAACCCCACGCTGGCTGTGACGTGCGGCATGTGCGGCAATGTCCTGGATCCGGCAAACACGCGCGATTCTTGGCGGTGTCGCAGGTCCAGTGCCTGCATGGAGAGCGCATACGTGAACTCTGGCGACTGTGGCGTGTGCGGGTTGTGTGGGCAAAAGCGGGCAAGCGAGTAATCAGGGGTTGACCCAAGAGGAATGATACGATGCCTGCATGCTAGTGCAGATTGTGACGACGAAGCGGCTCGTGCGGTGTCGTCGGGATGTAGCACGAACTCCCTACCGAATTACTATACATGCAGCACTTCACCTGGCGGTTGCACACGTCGCAGCTCTTGTGTGCCGCGACACGGCGTTGGATGTCTGACCTTGATACCCGGCAATCGGGCCACAAAACAGGTCCAACGCTGGGTCTAGAACGCCGTGGCCACACTTGCGCATCTGGCACGGCGGCAGTCTTACCGTGGAGGACTGCGCTAGCGAGCAGCACGTAAGCCCGCGGCGAGGACGGGAGGGCGTCACACGACCCAGCTCCTTGGCTCGCTAATCTGGTCGGGCGTGAAGGCCGACATGCAGTCTGCAGGTGGTTGCGGCCGAGAGATTGTGGGCGTTCTGATGGAGAGACTACCATCCGCTACTGCTGCAGGCGATGGGGCAAGCCATGACTCGGGGCATTGGCACGGCATCGTATCCTCGGGGCTGCACGGTGCCATTTCGAGTAATGGCAGTAGACAAGACACGACAGAGTACAGTGACTTACTGTGCTGCAACGGGCCAGGGCAATGGAGGTGCCGTGGGTCTGCTGATCTCGCCGTCGGCAGCGATGGGATATCGGCTGGCGGAGACTGCACGGAAGCCTCAGACTCGGAGCGTCAGTCAGCGCAGCGGGCCGCCGGGTCCTCTGTGGGCCACGGAGTTCGGTTCTCGACACCTTTGTCAACCGGCAATTCGATTACTGTATCGAGTACTGTGCCGTCAGCCATGCGACGGAGGGTTCGAGCAGGTCAAGCTTATAAAGGACAAGCACGCAAACACCTGCCGTGGAGCGTCGGCGTCAGACCTTTGGCACGTGGGTGGCTGCCCGGATGAGGCGGAAAGCTGGCCGGCGGCCACCGAGGAGAGGGGACCGCCCAGGCGCAGTATGCAGCAGGCAAGGAAAGGATGCTTTGAGTTTGGATCGATAACGACACGCACCTGAGGTATGAGGGCGGCGGCTGATTGTTCTGAGGCGACGGACCCGGTTCAATCGGCTCGCTGGCGGCCAACGCACACGCCGAGGGAGGGAGGGTGACGGCGTGACGGGGGATGGATGAGGTTTGGAGGGATCGTGTACGGCCACTTGCAACGTGGTGGTCATGATGCCATGGGGTTGCACCGACCCTGGCTGGCCTTCTTTTCCGGGGCTGTCTCCGTGTCGCATCACGCCGTGGTGGGAGGCGTTGCTTGGCTTGGATGCTCGAGTCGATGCAGATCATGCGCACGGCATCGAGCAACATCGACAGGCTGATGATGGTGACTGGCGGCTGTCTTCGTTTCAGGCATCCAGGCATGCAAACCTGGGAACCTTGGGAACATGGCCTCTGGCGGCCGGGGGGCTTGGGACGAGGGGAGATCTGCAGATGCAACGCCGCCCCTTCCCCGGTCCCCACGCCTTCGCGCTGTTTCCACGATGAGGATTGGAGGATTTGGGGATTAGAGGAGTCGCAACTGCTGGTTATCGACCAGCCCAGCAGAGCAGATCAGTAATTGATAGCTCCTTCCACTTCCCAAGCTTCTCACATCAGCGGGGTCCAGCTTTTGGCAACTGCGACTGCATATCTTGGGGCACATCTCAGCCAGTGGGAAGCTTCCCGGGCAGGTCGACTCAGGGCGGAGGCGAGACCCCTGCACCCTTGGCTTGCCTGTCTCTTCGGAGTATCAAGTCAGGACAGCGGCACGTCTTCAATCGCTCCGGAAAGCAGATTCCCTCAGGCCAATACCCTCGGGGCCCTTGTATTGCGGCGGCGGCGGCGGCGGCGGCATGACTGCCGCATGTCGTAAGAGTACTCTTACCACAGCGCTCGCCCACTGCCCGGCTCGCAGAGGGCATGGCAGGCAGCCAGGCGAGCCAGGGAACTGGAAGCCGCCTTCCACCCAAACCCAGACCTGGCGTCAAGGATGTTACCCCGCAAAGAGCTGTCAATGGGGCGCACGGCCTCGCCAGTCCCAGGTCGGCTAGCGCAGCACCTGTTCCCAAACTCTGTCCGGGGACCCTCTCCCAGGACCTCACCCTCACTCACCAGGACCCTCACCAGGACCCTCACCTCGACCCTCACCTCGACCATCCCGTGGGCGGGCTGCCGTCTGACTTTACCTGACGACAGACACACTCTAATTAGTTCCTCCCATTGCCGTCCTCCCCACCCAACGCCGGCCATCCACCAACCAACCTATCGAGGCGCCGCGCCTCATCACGCCAGACCCCCCTTCTCGCTCGGCCGCGACAGAACCGTGCCTTCTTCGAAGCCGTCCCTGGCCCCCATTGGCGCAGTCGCGCCTGGCGAGATGGAGGGCCAGAGGGTTGCAGATGGCGTCCGCGGCACAACCTGTAGGGACCCTGCCGTGCGACCTAGGCGGCCACCACTGGATGCACCGCTGGCAACCGGCAGCCTTTGGCTGGCCGGCGGAGAGTCCCATGCGCACTGGCCCGCGTGCGGCGGCGTCTTGGACATGGCGTCTCGGGTGCGGAGTGCACGGCTGCGCTGCGCCGTTCAAGTACAGGGAAGCGCGGCGTAGCACAGCACGCATGGCATGGCATGGTAATTACCGAATGCCATCTGGTAACGTCAACGCCATCTGGACAGATCTCTGGGCATGCTCGACCCGCTCCATGGCTCGCTGCTCAGATGGGGGGAGGCTTATCAGGGCCACGTCCATTGGCAGCCAGGGGGCCGTGGTGCATGCAGATGGCAACAGCACGCTTCCCTGCTCGCGCCCCCTCTTCTGGCCTGACTGACCTGGCGACGCTCCCAAGGTTGTCTCTGCAGCTTCCCAAGCTTCCCCAAACCGTCCGCGTTTGCCAGCGCAGCCACCTGGGCCAGCGTCCCCAGCGTTTGTTGACAGCCCGACCGGACGGACGCCGATGGTCGGGACGAGGCGAGACACGACGCTCGGCGAAACAGGGACCGTCCGAAAGCAGCAATCGCTGACCTCAACGCAGGTCCAAGATTGAGTCCAGCCAACGGAGCCCCACAGAAACAAGGAGACGCCACGCATTCCCGACCAGCAGATCGGCCCCAAAGTGCGACCTCGAAGCCTCTGCCCGCCCCGCCGCCCCGGCGACCCCACCGATCGCGGACCTCCCCAGGCAGCTCCGACGTCACTGGTTCTCAGTTGGGCATGGTAGGCGACAGGAGGGGAGGGCGGCGTTGCTGCATGCTGGAGCTGCTTGGGAAGGGAGCTCTGAATCTCTCCTGGCACCAGCTTGGTCCCCATGGAAGTCGCCAAGCTTTCAGCGCAGCACCCTGGCCTGGTATCTGGACGCTGGGAGTCGGTCCTCCAGTCACCGCAGGCTGGGGGCCCAGGGCTCGCAACAAGCCATCCGTCGGATTGTCCCATCGCGATTGATGGCTTCGTCGACATCGTCGTCGTTGCTGTCCACGCCGAGCCTGGTCGGCGGCGCAGACGTCGTGAACCAAGAGAGAGTCTTGCCGTGTCTGAGGCGTCCCGATCCCCGTGCACATATCCTCCTGCGCGCCCCCATGCATCCAATCTCACGCGGCGTCTGCGTCCCCTCAATGCTGCTGCACCCTCGTCGTAATATTAGAAACCTTGCCTGCTGGCGCATGTCCCGGTTCGCCTCCTCCGCAGCCGGTCCCGCCGCTCCCTTTTGGCGCACCCCTCGTGCATCATCACTGGCCAGTCACCGGCCTCAATGCGCCAGGCGCTCTCTTGCTCCGTCCCTCACACTCGCTCGCTCGCTCTGCACACACACCACTCGCCTTCGCACACGCACGCATTCGCACACGCACACGCAACACGCAGCACACCTTGCAAACGCCGCCGTTTCTCCTCCTTCATCCTGCTTCCCCTCCTTTCCATCACTCGTCCGTCAAAAACTCTGTCGGGCAACGCTGCATGCGCAGCGCGGCACAGGCTCAGTCTGACCTCCATACGGCAATCTGACGTTTGCACACTGGAAGAGAGGGTCCCCCTTGGGCAACTCACGAGGCCACTGGGGACTGCATAATCAATCAGCGCCGCCACCCACCACTCCCAACTCCACCACGGCGCTCCCGCAGGCTGTCGCTGCTGCCGAACCCTGAACGGACCCCCATATTCCTGCTCGACGTCCCACGCCTCTGGCGGCCTGAATCAGCCCAAAGCCCGCCAGGTTATTCGTCACTAGCGCCGTCCACTGCTGTGCTGCACTGGAGTGTGCTCTGAACCGTCCGCGAGCACCTTGCCTGTGCCCTTTGCTACCTGCCTTACGAAGTACCCGCCTCCACTGTCCCGCAACTGATCGCTCCTTCCTCCA